CAACTTATAAATTCATTTGTGGGCAAACGAAATAATATGACAAACATTGTTCAAGTTTACTACCATGGGGAAAGAATTCGTGCCACTGAAAAGTTGTGATTTTAACATTCATTATCGCTTTTGTAGGTCCAACCAGAGGTTTTATCTATGATAAGAATGAAAGATACAGTGTTAAAACTTAAAAAGTAAAATATTTGATTATACTAAGGAAACGGGGATATATTTGATAATGCACTTTTATATATATTATACAGAGAGCAAAAAAACTAAAATTAATCGATTCCTTTATAAAAACAAAGATAGCTTAAGTAGCACAGTTTTTGTAGGTGTCCTCCCTGAGGTTTGAGCTATGGTAATAATAATGCAAGATTCAGACACAATGGCAGCTTTTGTGATCCCAACAGAGATTTTATCAATAGCAGCACACAGAATAAGAACAAGTTAAATTCCCTGGTTATTATACGGCGGGGTTGAAACTACAGTCAAATTTAGGATGGTAGTTTATCGGAAATACAAGAAACTTAATCAAATAACAATACAGTAATAACAAGACAAGGAGGAATAAGAGCAAAAAGAAACAGTTGAGCAGTTGAAAATATTCATTTCCACAACTGTGTGAAATTGTAGAAGTAAATCCAGAAAAGCAGAGGAAATTAAGAGTCGCCTAAAAAGTAAAGAACGAAAAGGAATTACCTCTATATAGTAACTGAAAACTAACTTTGTAAATATAAGGAGGACCCAAAATATTGTGTACCTGAAATTATAAACAATAACATATTACCATAAATTCCTACAGAAAGTTATACCATTCACAACAAAGAGAAACTTTATATACTCTATGCTTACTTGAAAAGGGATAATGTGCTCTCATGCATTCCCCTACCAACATAGAGACGGGGCTACCAAATATATAGAATAAAACACCAAGTTAGAATATGTATATCTAAATTGAAATGGCACAAAAGAACCATTGTTTGGTGTACTGAACCAAAAGAGAAAAAGGATTCCATATCGCCTACCTGTGACCACCACATCATTAGCATCACAATCTTATAGTTCGACCTCTCAAGAAAACGTCGAATGAATGGGAACAGAAACAATAGGGCAGCCAGCATATTTGGTGACAGGTACAAAGCAACAAACATAATAAACAATGAAGGTGAACGTGAAGTGCTTCTTCCAAACCAACTTTGGATGGTTTTAGAAAACTCAGGAGGATTGCCCCAAGTACAAGAATAAGTAACTGATAGAACAACCACCCATGCTGCAGCTGAAACAACTTTTAAAATGTATCTTAACTTAACATGCATTGACATAGTCCGTTGTGCTTTCCAACTGAGGATCACATCCATAATAGCTGCCAACAAGGAAAAAAACATCCCTAAGTTACACCACTTTATGAAATAAAAAGATTGTTTCCAGCAGAGAAAACCTAAAAGTGAATAGGTTTCAGATAGAAAAGTAAGATACTTTGTGGAAATTCCCTACTTGCAGTCATTGGGTTCTTTTAGTTACAACATAACACTACTTGTTTTAACTACATATTCTCAGTTCTCACCCTAATTAACATGATAATACTATTTGCATAAGATATAAGAACAATTAAATACAAATATGCACATTTGTTCAACAGAGCACTCATAACACCCGAGTAAATCAAAGAAATAACTATAAAGCAATCATTCCTACAAAATACAAAGGCTAACTTGAGTATCAAATAAGATCCGTGGATAATACTTTTAGCTGAAAGGGTCTCTAGTTTTTACTAACTTAAGTATATTCTATCTCCAATTATGACTTTTTTCCATTTTTTTGCATAAAACAAGAATTTCATTAGAGCAGAGAATAGTGCAATAGAAGAGGATCAGACATCCTAGCAAATAACCAAAGGGAAGAAAAACAACCATGATAAAAATAAACTGCCAGTAGGCTAATTTTCTATTCTATACATTGTCAGCATCTCCGGCACTCATTTTGTCTACATAAATTTTACCGACTTGAAACTTTTTAAACGGGTTAGTTAAATAGTAAACTGAAAACTGAAAACTTTCAGTAAATCCGTCTTCCTCTGGAAGTTCTTACATGTTAGAGAAGCATTACGATCAATTAATGGCTGTACAGTGGTTCCAAATTAATATAAAACAGTCAACTAAATACAAAAGGATTAATTTGGATATTAAATAACATTACACAGCAACACATGTGCCACCAAAGATGGCTATTATCTACCTTGTCCGAACTTCAATGTTGCAGCTGTTATAAACACACTCATCACCTTATTGAAAACATCACCATTAAGGATTGCAGTTGGATCCCCAGACCCATTCCAAGCAACAATCATCATGGCCTAATGACAAATTAGATCTTTCAGAAGTGGATCTTATTTAGCAAGACACTATAGGGGAAAATTACTCAGATAAGGGAATCAACGACAAGGGCAACACGATGCAGAAAATATTATTACCTGTAAGCAGATAACGAAAAATCTCCACATACGGTCAAAACTTCTGAAAATATGCCAAAATGACCTTATCTCAACAAAGTTGACTTTTCCAACCCATTTGTTCCTCATAGCTGGCTTGTTATCCTGTAAGTTCAAGTTTTCAGCAAGCTTAAAAATCCAGTGGGACATATAACTTTCAGCAGTGACTGTACGAACTTACTCAAACAAGATAGTGAGACTTAAAACATATTTTACATCATTCAATAGTCAGGATCATAACTATGCACGTAAGACTTCGTTACCATTTTCAGCCAAACATTTGAGTCAAGGCTCAAGGCATAACCATTAGAGTATGTAACTATGCTGAGCTCCTTGCATGTACAATCAGTTTGTCACACTAGTAATTTTGCATGCTATATTCTGTTCTATTCACTTAGTAGATTCTGAGCTTAGCTACCAGATACTCTAGACAGCTCTAGACCACTGTATATAAAAGAGTTGAGACAAGTTTCAGATCTTATATTCATCTTATATTTCTTTCTTTCAACATTTTCCATCGCCTTCTTTCTCTTTCTCACATTTTCTCAGTGGTCATTAATTTCTTGTCATCTATCATGTTATCATTAGCACATTTCTATCTCGAAACATGGACATGGGAAATAATCGTCGTACGATGCTCTGACGCATATTCAGTGAAAACAAATATCTGCAAATTATCCACAGACATGGAATGATCCCTAGAAACTCAATGACACTGTACTGAAAGAAAATAAATGCTTATAAGTGAACATAGTTAGAATATAGCTGCTTACAATGAGAGATCATAATGCTTACATTAGATTTATCAAAAATTAGCTGCTCAACTGGCAGGCAAAAGAAATCAGCATCGGCACGCATTGGCCAACCTAGACTAAAACAATCGACTGACCTAAAATTCATTAAAAATTAACAACCAGTCAAGTATAATAAACATGAAAGGGAAAAAAATTGAAAAACTTGCTAAATATACCAGAAATATTCATTTAAATCATCATAGTTCCTCCATTGTGAATGCTTTGAACTCCCTTTTTTGCTCCATTCAGCTTCCTGTTGAGAAATAATTACCATTGTTTTATGATATATTATTAGAATAACTAGATCTAACTTCATTCAAAAGCTATCTTAAGGGAGGAAAAAGTGGGGCTGAATACAAATTACCAATAGTATGAATTACATGTGTGTTGTGTGTTTTTACAAGCATAAGACAAGGAAGCAAAACAATAATAGATGGTAGGAAGCACCTTTGCAATCACATCATATATTGGAGTTACAACTTTCCTTAAGAAAGCCTCCTCTTCACCCCCATAGGCTGGTTTGATATTTTCTCCCGTCATTGGACTAACATTGCCAGCAAGCATACCATACAATTCAAAAGCCATCTACGAGAGGAACCATGAAAAAGATCCAAAAGCATGTCAATATTCAACTACCAACAATGTCATCAAACCCCAAAATCACATGAACAAATGTACATATTAGAGATTAGAATATTATATTTATACTCATTCTTTGGCCTCTGCCTAACAGCTTAAAGCTTTTGGTCAATGAAAACAAAATAACATTTTTTACTCTTAAACATTTCCAATTGGTACTTACCCATCTATAAAAATGCAATCCTGGAAGCTGGAACAGTAAATAAACATAAGTTGATTTAAATTACAAAGCTTACATGGTGATAGATATAGCAAAGGCATTCTGACATGAATCTTAAGTTGGCAGCTTCACCCCATATTAGAAGATACAAACCCATATACAGTAATTTACGCTGCTGCACTTCTTGCTGTATGGTTGGTAACCTGCAATAAGCATCCACGAGGTAAAGCCAAGGAAAATAACATAATCTAAGACAGGTTGTAAATAACAACCTAGATTCAGAATTTGAAGTCAGAACTAAGTTTAACAGCTAATATGCTGATTTACAATTATAGAGTATAGGGGGAAACTCTACAACTAAAATAGATAGACGAGATTATATTCTTCTCCCCATTTGTAGCTAAACAAAGATCTCTCCGAGTTAGCAAAAGAACGAAGATATTATCTTCTGATGTTATGAAAATAGGAGCTCTCACCAAAGGCTACTCTTCCGACCCAAATATTTGCACCACTTCTTGTAATTCTTAAAAAGTTTCTTCATCACAGCTGTCAATGCACGCTCGTCCAACTAAGCAAATAATATGGCACAAGTCAAGAGCAGATTTAACACAAGCCAACATATTAATTTCTTATAGAACATCAAAAATTGAAGAAAATGATTAGTCAAGTATATGATTCCCAGACGAATATGCATTGCCACTAAAATGGAGTATGCAGGAGTAACATGGATATGGTGCATAGCTTTTAAACCCCTGAAACATGACATGCAGCAAGGAAACCATTTACAGCAGGTTAAAAAAATGTTTTAATATTTAATGTGGTTAACTAGGTACAATATTTATACATGAAGTTAACTATCTAATCCCTACACTGAAGGGTTAAGAACCAGCTATAATAATCCAAAGATCAATCATACATCTAATGTGGTTCTACAGTGTAGTGCTGAGCACTCTGGACTTTGAATCCAGTGACCTGGGTTCAACTCTGCAGTAGGACCTTGAACTTTTTTCTTAGTTTCTTGGTTTCTTTGATTCTTTCTTTCTTGGTTTCTTTCTTTCTTGGTTTCTTGTTTCTTTTCTTGTTTCTTGGTTACTCGTTACTTGGTTACTCGTTACTTGGTTACTTGGCTACTTGTTTCTTAGTCAATTTCTTTCTTTCTTGGTTACTTTCTTTCTTAATTTCTTACTTGGTTTCTTAATTTCTTTCTTGGTTTCTTGTTTCGACTCTCGGTAAGACCTTGAAATTTTTACTTAGTTTCATTGTTTCCTTCGTTCTTGGTTTCTTTCGATTTTGGTTTTTTCTCTTTCTTGGTTTCTTAATTTCTTTCTGCCGTTATTTCTTGTTTCTTGGTTTCATGGTTTCTTGTTTTTTTGGTTTCTTGTTTCTTAAGCTAATTGTAACACTATAAATTGAATTCATTAATGTCAAATGCTTTTCCCACAGTCCAAAGCAGCAGAGAAGAAAAGTGTATTTGTATAGAAAGTTTAAAGAAGAAGTAGAATTCAGGTTTGTGCATTTGCTGTACAGAAATTTAAATTAAAATACGTTAAAAAACTATATAAAGCTGACCTTTGGTTGTTGATCAGGCTTAGGAAATTGTCTTATGTGCACATTTGCAAGCAATAAGATCAAATGCTCTCTCTGATTTGCTATGTTGTGCTTCTGTGTTTTGTTAGTAAAGAAAACATGTTACGTAATGTAAAAATAATACAAGAATCGAAGCAGTTAAAAGATTGTCGGTTTGAGATTGTAATTTACCTGAAATCCAAACATTATCCCAAGCCAATCCAGAATGTCTTCATCTTTTTTTTTCTTGTGATCCTTAGGCCAGGTAAGACCCCTTGTGTTTCGAAGAGCGAATACAGCAGCTTGGATCTGTGGAGTGTGATTTGTTCATTAAAAGTGGAAGAAAAATGTACGTTGAACAGGACTTCAAACATGTGAAACTAGAGACATTACCTCAGGAAATCTCATTATTGCCTGATTTGCACTATCAGGATCAAGAGGAAGAATATTGTAAGGAACTAAGATCTCTGTTTTTTCAGCAACTTTATGTTGAGTTTCCAAAATCTATCACAATATTAATGGTCACTCGATCATAAGCATAAACACCATTGATAACCAAAACTACGAAACAAGTTTGATTATGAAAAACTTTATGACGTATGGGTCCACACAAAAAAGGAACACCCCTAGGGAGATGAATTATCAGGAGCTAGAGAAGAATAACCTCGCGATCAACTTCCACAGATTGGGTCATGTTAACTGCCTTCAAAACTTCAAAAAGAACATTAGCAGTCTGGTATGCCTTGGTGAGCTGTGCACTGAAAGCAAGAAGACAAACTCATTTCCAGTCACACGATAAATCGGCAGAGAACATATTGTACATTAATTAAACAACATACCGGTCAGCTTTATCAGCAGCATTTTGCAAAGCTTGGATATATTTTTTGTAGTAATGCTGGTAAAAACTCTGCATCTCACGGGCGTCACTTTTCTTTACCCTTCCTTTCAGTGTTGGATCATTTTCCTAACAAAAAAAGGAACAAGTTGATAAAAACACACAAAGAATTAACATGACTATGAAAAGGAGCAAAACTACAAAAGGTTATGGGTAAAGGAACATATTAACTGTATCTTGTAAAAAGATTCATATCAACTGCTTACTCGTTCGAGACGCTGAAGAAGTGCAGTTTTAAATTGGCGAACACCACGGCCACTTGAAGTAGGGTCCAACCTATGAGCTTTTTCAAATGCATAAAACCGGCCTACAAAACCAAAATATACATCCCTCAAAAATAGAAATACACTCAAGAACCAATAATTAAGAGCAATGGTTCATGAGAGCATCAAAATAGGGACCTTTTTCCTTTTGTATGTTTTCTAAAAACATGTGCATGCAAGAAAGATAAAATAAAAGGTAAAAAATAAAATAAAAATTGAAATATACAAATAATTGTTTACAACGTCAGTGAGGTGTTTAAAGAGAAATTTAAGAATAGCATATGTTTATGTTTGTTTGGCCACAGTCTTGAGAGACTTACGCTCTGTTAAGCTTGTAGAGTGAGCTATAAGTCACTGCATGGCCTTACCAAACACATAATAACTAGTAATCCACGTAACCAAACAGTTAAAGAGAAAAAGAGAAGAATAAATGAAAGGAACTTACAGAGATAAGAAACTCTGGGGTGAGTTTTCTCAACCTCATTAGCAACACGAAGAATGGGTGCAATTTCGACAAGAGATGAAGGAACAACCTCACTGTCAAATATTGCTTCTCCAAGATTACCAGCAGTTTGAGTTCGCGTGATCCTTCTCTGCGACATTGCAAAAACCCTCTTCCGTTTCCGTTTCCGTTTCCGTTTCCGTTTCCGTTTCCGTTTCTTTCACCCAAAGCTCTAACAATGATGAGATAAAACAAATAGAAATATAAAGCTCAAGCTAATGCTAAATCTCTCATTCCATAAAATAAAGTATTTAAAAAGAAGAAAACTATAATGTTGTTACAAGAGCAGAGATAGAGAGAAGAGAGTGTGTGTTGAGAGCAGAGGAAGTTACAAATGTTGGTTGGAGTTGCGGAAATGAAGCGCCACAAAAACGTACATTTCATTAATTATTCCGTCAAAGCCAGGTCAGAAGACAGAAAGTATGTTTTCGACTATGTGGTTTCATCATAATGCCACATTATATTCCTCTGAATCACGCTTCTGCCATTCCACTTCTTGTTCGAATTTCAAATAGTGACTAACGGCTTTTATGTGGTATTTCATTCATAATTAGAAATAAATATATTTACCTTTTTAATGTTAATTTAATGTCCTAATGTTGCATTGTCAATTCAGTCTAATATTAGTGTCATCTAATGGAATGCTCTCATTCATGCAACATATATTTCATACGTTTTACCAAACAATATCCAATCTCATATTAGATTGTGAATTTTATATAAAGCAATAAAAGTTTCCTTTAACATATGATTCATTTAGTATGTTTTTAACAAATCTCAATTTTATTCCCAAATATTATTATTTTTAACAATTCGTTTATTTATCATATTTTACATTTTAAAAATGGTATCATACTGAAAAATAAATAGATGAAGGGTATTTAATAATTTATTCAAACCATATTTTTTCCTTTTTATTTAGGAATTTACATTTTTGAAATTCAAAATTATAATAAATATAAATAAAAATAAAACTTATATTAGTTTTTCCTAAATTTGGTATTATTTTAAACTTAATATCTATTTTTCCAAGCTTGACATTTTCAATATTCTATTGGTTAAAATGACTTCAAGTTCCAAATGATAGTCATAAAAAGAATTTAAAACAGCATTTTTGTTTAACAAAACTAATTAATTTAAAAAAATAGTATTTATATAATATCCCAACAAAATTATTTACTCCACTATCACTTATTTATTTACTATTACTAATTACTAATAATTTATTATCATCATTCTTGATAACTTTACAATAAAATTACAGAAATGGAGAATGTTTCTTAATTTACTAAAATTATCTTTTGTTTACTTTTTTTGTCATTGAAAATTTAATTTTACAAAATAAAACTAGTAGTAAGTATAAATAAAACATTGTTATCAATTTTCATCAATGAAAATGGTATCATACTTTCGGAGCGTCAAAAATATATTTTGAAGATCCAAAATTATATTATATTTTAAAAATTATTTACCATATTAAGCATTCTAAATTTTTCATTTGTTGAAACTGACTTCCAAATAATATTTTGAAAAAGAACTAAACAATTTGTTATTTTTTTTTTTGACAAATCTTAATTTAATTTTAAAATACTATAATTTATATAATATCCTAAGAAAAATATGAACTCTAATCTACTATCATCTATTTTGTTTACTACTACTATTAACTAATCACATATTAATATTTTTCATCACTATGGGATTAAATTATAAATATGGAGGATGACATTTAATTTATTAAATTCATGGTTTGTTTATTTTCATTTTTGCTTGAAATTAAAAATAAATTTTTTATTAATTCTGCTTATTGAAATTGTATTATACTCTTATACTTTACCAGTGTCAAAAACATATTTTGGATCTCCGAAACTTTTTTTAAAACTTATTTATCATATTTGATATTTCAATTTCCCTTAGTTTGAAATTGAGATTAAGTTCCAATCAAAGTTTGAGATGTGTCACTTCAATTTTAAAATGGTATTATTGTAATACACTTAAGAAATTATCAATTATACTCTTCTCTAACTGTAATTTATGTAATGTTACTAATACCATATTATTATTTTTCACCAAATTGATATAAAATTATAAAGATGAATGACATTTCCTAAACTATTCTAGTTATTACTGGTTTATTTACCTTAATACCTTAAAAACTGTTAACATTAATCTATTATAGCTTGTATTATTTACTACAAATTATATATTAATATTGTTCACAACTTTAATATGAATTTGTACATATGGATATTCAAATTATATTTGGTCTATCTCTCATTTTCAATTAAAATTTTAATTTTGAGGAATCAAACTACTAATAACTTTAAATAAAAAATTTCTGATAAAAACAACTTTAAATAAAAATATAAATTGTTTTCAAATTTTCTCATTGGAGAAGGTCAATATTATACATTTGAGACTGCAATTTTTTTTCAAATTATAGCTAATTGAGCATTCATTCCGTTCAAAATTCCAAACATTGATTAGTGAAACAATTAAAAAACTATTTTCTTTTTTTTATATTATATCAATTGCTTTACTTAGTACCACTAATAATATAATACCATAAAATAGTTTGACATAGAATTAAAAATCTTATACGTTTTGCTTAGCAAATCATTATTCCATTAAAAGCTACCAGTTTTTATATAACACCCTTAAAAAACTATCAGCTCTAATATCCTATCACCTACTTTATTAACTATTATTAATTAATAATATAATAGTATTCACCATTTTGACATAAAAATATAGAGATTGAGATTGGAATCA